TTATTTCCCTTGAGGGCGAAATTAATTAATCGTTTCGCACTTTTAAGACACCTTTAATTTTCACAGAATATAGCTCTACACTATACTGTATTTCGCCCTTCAAATTTTGCACTTCGAATTTAGCACCGGAGAAGTACAAATTAATTTGGCTCCATAAAGCACAATATAATACTCTATGCCAACCCTGAGATATACAACGGTCAAATCCAACATATGATGATGACTTAGCTCCAATCCTTATCAGAGAAAAATTTCTGAGACTATTTATTTATGAGCCAGTATCGTGGCAATGGCACATTATTCCTCCAGACTCCTACTTAGATACCATGATAAGTTTTCTTAAATTGTTTTTTCTGTTGCCTATGTTATGCTCATCTCTCTGTGTGAATGCATTAAGGTGTTCTATTTAGGATCATGTATCTAATTGTATGTATTTGTAGAATCCATTCGTGAGAAGCTGTGGTACTGTAAGTAAGTCAGAAGTGTGGTCTGTATTCTGCCCTCATAAGTGGCTCTCTGTGATATTAGTTGCAATTTACTTAGAATAGTGGTCAGTGTGTGCTGTGAAATTGTGGCTTTTTTTGGTAATGTTATGCTGTGTACACATGTTAATCTCTGAAACAATGTTGATCTTGGTGTGGTCATGTGGAGATTGTAAATAAATTTACTAACGACAAGGATAACATTTAAGAAGATATCATTAATGAAATTGCTTTCACCTATACAAGTCAAACACAAACTTTTTAAACAATACTTGGTCTACAACATAAAAGAATAAAATTCAATAAAAAGAACACAGTAAGATAACTGTTGTGGAACATGAACATAAAAAATTAAGAACTCAAGGATTGTCAATCACAGTCCATGAAAATCAACAGTTATAAAAAAATAACATTAACAAGCGTACAAAACAATGTGCAAAATAAATTTTTATCCGTTGGCATTGTCATTGCCCCGGTGGCTCATGTTCCTTATGTAGTCAGTGAGGAGACCGAGCACGTCCGACATGGCTGCAGCCCTCTCGTATCCATGGAGAATGGCCTCAGGAAGTCGGCAACAGTCTTCCCAAAGGCATCACAGCCGTCCATGAGGTTCGCGTTGACGAGCTGCTGCGGGAGCCGCACTTCGGCACCATCTTTACCCTGCTGCGCCGGCCTGTTCTGCACCTCCCGCGCCTCTCGCTCCACTTCGGCCAGCTGCTGGCGCTGCCTGCCCATCTCCCGGTCCGCTCTCCTCCGTTCCTCTCCTCTATGGCCTGCGCAAGCCTTTGGCGGGCGCTCGTGCGCGCTTCGTGCTCGTCGTGCTCGTGCTGGAGGTCGCGGGCTCTGGCCGCTGGCCGCGGCCCTCACCGGATTCGGGCGGTCGAGCCCATTGTTGTCCTCTACATCCGAATCGTCGTTGTGCTGCGACTGATTCCCGGCTTGCCCGCGCCTGTTGTGGCCAGCAGGCTGGCGGGGATGACGCGAGCGAGGAAGCTCCAGCTGTGGTGTTCCTTGTACTGATGGAGCACCATCGGCACGGTGGTGCGGCGAAGAACCACCGCCACCTACACCAACAGTTTCGTCAGGCAGCCATCTACATAGAAGTGAACAGGTGCAGATCCTCCTTCAAACTTTTGATCTGTCGCGCCTCGGGCCGAGCGACCACTGCAGACTTTGAAAATAATTGTAGCTTACATTTCTGCATAGGGTCGAACGGAGACTTGTTCGCACCCTGCCTGGAGAGGCGATCTCTGTAAAAATGTTTCCATCATTCTGACAGCCTCCGCCCCTGCTATACGAAGGTTTTCTACGGACTCACTTGACAGAACAACGCCCGAATCAATGGCGACGAGGTTTGGTGCTGTCTCGTGAAAAGGGTTACGAATTGATTCTATGGTGGGCTGCAGTTTGTTCACGGTGAAGAGAAGAGTCCGCCTTCTGCTTGGTCGCCCTGAGAGAAAATTCATGCCACAGACGTGCAATTTCTGGGGCTACCAGCACCTTTCCCCGCATTTTGTTGTCGCTGTGTATGCGACCAGAGGCACCTAGCTCTGCTTTAAGTATAGCATTATTCTGCTCATGAAATGGGTCAGCGGCAATTGCTGAGTGCGGGGCTGGCGTTTTGTTGAGGGCAAAAAAGCCGTTGGAGAATATTTTTTGCACTGTAGGGGCAACTTGAGACAGGTAAGGGAGGGTGGGGCAGTTAGTGACACTTTTTGGAAATCGAGCTTATTTCGCTTATTTTCGGCGAAATGTTGAGCACGAAAGCTTAGATAGTTACTTGCAACCTTTGCCGAGGTAATGCAGATGGTGGTTCGATGAGTTACGAGCCAGTGTGCCAACAAAGTGGCTTGAACTGGAGCCCTGCATTTGTCACTATGTACCCCGGCCCGGGGCAGTTAGTGACAGAGGTCGGGGCACTTAGTGACAACGGTATAAAATTGCATTAAACCTTGCTTTTCCCGTGATAAAGCGGTCCTGTGCACAACACGTGCGACTCGCGTGCACAGACATTCTGTGCACAACTAGCTTGTGCACAAGATCGGCCCGCCTGCAGCAGGACCGGCGGCAGGTGCAGGTATGTGCATGTGCGCATCGCGCGCACAAGGCGCACAGATCCGTTGGCCAAGGTCCTGGCTACAGTTTCAATTTTTTTTATTTTTCTTTATTTTTTCCGAATTTTTCTGATTTTTTCCGATTTTTTCCCGACGATTTTGGAGAGATCCTGATTAAGGCCGATTGCTCGATTTTGCCCGATTTTGCTCGATTTTGCCCGATTCTGGCCGATTTACGTCAATTCTCTCCAAAATCGTCGGGAAAAAATCGGAAAAAATCAGTAAAAATCAGAGAAAAATAAAGAAAAATAAAAAAAAATTGAAACAGTAGCCAGGACCTTGGCCAATGGATATGTGCGCATTTAATGCTGGCGATGCCTCTCACCGTTTAGGCGCTAGAAGGAGTTTTACTCACAAAACTAGTTTCAAAAGTAGTTTCGAACCATTCTGGACCTGAAAAACCAATAGAGTTTAGACCACACATCAAAAAAAAAATGTCAGTTCAGTGCATTATGTCAACAGAGAAATACGCGTTGTATTATAAAAATCTAGGTGTCACTAACTGCCCCGGCAAAAACTGTCACTATCTACCCCAAGTGCAGTACGGTGTTTCAACGTGAACGAGAGGTTAACTCGTCGGACTAAGTTCGGACCGCGCGTAAAATCATTAAGTATATAGTCCATACCAATCACAGAAAAATCCGTATGGTGAAGTTGGCGATATTTACGGAGTATTTACAAAAAGAAAAAAGGGCAAAAGTCGAAACTTACCTCAAAATTGTGATCAGACACATTCAAAGTTTCACCACCGCCATAACAATTTGCCGAACACCACCGCCTTGTGGCAAATGTTTTTCGAGCTCTGAAACTTGGTTAAGCCGATCGAAGTTGGTGCGAAAATTCAATTGGACGGCCTAGGGTACGAAGTGTCACTAACTGCCCCTGTCACTAACTGCCCCACCCTCCCTTACGTCAAATCGGTGAGCTGTATCGACAAAGCTTTGGCGTAATTTAATCTATTGACGACAAAACACCACGGCAGTATTCGGGTAAGGCACTCTTTGTACAACTCGTAGTCCTGCCCCCGCACTGACTTTAAGGAGAGAAAACAAAGGGTCTCCAGGTTCAGAACTAGGAGCCAGTAGAAGAATGTGGGCGAAGCGTCAGCTCTTTTCTGCACCCACACATTGAGTGACTCACCCTCGTTGTTTTCCTCATATGCCTGGTGCAGCAGTATGAAGAGAGCAGCCGCGCACGCCTCGCTCTCTTCAAATGTTGCACTTGTAGACCAGCGTTAGCGGCGGTCTCTGACACTCAAGGCTATGCTTGCATGCGCGGGTCGCAAAACCCTCAATTTCATGGCAAATCCTACGAGATAAAGATCGCGCAGATTGTTTTAGCTTGTTTTCATGAGGCAAATTGCAATTTGAGCATAATTTTACGTAACCAGACATTGACTGACCCTTGCCCTTTTTTGTGTCGGTGAAAATGGTCTTAATCTTTTGTTTTTGGTCCAAAACAAACTGACCTCTAAGGGTTTAATTTTATATAAATTATTGGCAGAGTTATGGCAACTTGTGCTTTTTTAGGTGTTTTTAGCAATTAAGTAGCGTATATTCTCCTAAACTCAAGTGAAAGCAATTTCTGGGGCAGGTACGGATTGGAATCAAGTCGATAAGGTAAGAAGAAACTAAAATTACCCTGGTAGACTTTTTACGAGCACTCGATGAGAGACGAGAGGGGCGCACAGCAACAGCAAACTCCTAAAAGCATAAAGATTAAATGAACAGCAAGCCAGGTTATGAATGTTCAGCAACTGTAGCATATTTTTCAGTAGCATAGGTTGCCTTTAAAATTATTTGTTTATTTAATCGAAATGATCCTTACCTTTGCCAACGCATAGCTACGAATGGTGTGTTCTTATATTTATGTCACGCAATCGTAGTTAATTTTGACTTACAAGCGTTACGTTATAAGTGGACAACCCCTTAATGGAAATAAGGAATGAGGGCACAAATTTTCCTCTCAAAATTCCAGCCCTGTTACCCAACATTTGACAACTGGGGGGGCTAGCTTTAGCATCGCCCACTGTAAAAAATAACGGTCTACCTACGGTGAGATAACAGCGTGGATTTGACACCATGGTACGGTACGGTGTGATAACAGCGTCTCAATGTTATTTTCACAGTATGATGTGGTTATTGGCTATGTGGCTATTTACTTTTTAATTAAATCACATCCTACGGTGAAAATAACAGTGAGACGCTGTTATCACACCGTACCAGGTACGGTCCAAGAACGGTTTGCCATTGGTTAATAATTGACGGCCCAAGACCGTTGTTAGACCGTAGGTTTTTCTCAAAGTGCCGAAAACTTTGTAGTTACCGTCGTTGTATATTTTGCGTAGCTTAAAGGAATAAAACAAACGTATATTTTAGATATTGTTTTTATGTTTTATTCATATCACAAAGCATGCCTAACAGACACCAGTTGCTCGCCACCGTGGCTGGTTCTTTGCCACAACGGCATATATGATACAAATTGATTTTGGGATATGTACAAATATTCAGCAGCATCTCTAACAACAAAAGAACACAAATTACCCCTGTACCCATCTGTTACCATCCGTTTTACAAGAAACATCGGGCCATTATTTGTAATAAAAATTAGAACAATCTTACAAAATACAGGAAATAGGTCATTGGCATAGAGTACAACTACCATATGTACTTTGTAGGTCGTTCCTAGGATATCTACACCCTTTGTGACAGACACTAACTGGTTTGGAGTGAAGGGCAGTCGAGGGGGAAACGACTGTTAACCTTGGTGTCAGCCGGATTACGGATTACCCGGATTACCTCGGGAGTGTCCTCCGGATTACGTTGCCTTATCTCTAGGATTACCCCGGATTACCCCCAAAATTTTCTCGGATTACCCCAAAATTTCCCCGGATTACCACGGATTTTTTAGAATTTCCTCGGATTACCCCTGCCGGATTACCTTTCGCCTGTCAGCCGGATTACCTTAGTCGTTTCCCCCTCGAGGGCAGTACTTCACGATACAAATTAAAATTATATAGTGACGCAGTACGAAAAGAGTTAACTTTCAAAATACATTTAAATTTAACAGTCGGATCTAAAGTCATTACATGTTGATAAAATTCAAGCTGCACTTTAACGGCAATCGACAACGGCAAATTTACACGGGAATTACTCGTACGCGCGTACAGTTTTCCCTGCCGATGCTTTCTTTCTAGGGCTAAAGCAGAATAATGAGGCAAGGGACCGTTTCTTTTAAGAGCCTCGGGGTAATGCGTCATTAAATTATGCTTCGGTCGCAAATAATCATTTAACTTAATATGCAGTTCATGGTGCTCTCTTATGATTATACCAAGATAATCTTCAGTGCCTCTAGAAAAATACGGCGCTGTAACAATCTCCACAATTTCTCTGACAATAAGATAGTACCGCCAAGCCAAATTGTCAGGGGGCACAAGATCCCCGATCATTTCGCCAAAATATCGAGCAAAGCACATGAAACCCGGCCCCGCGGTCCTGCTGCCGTTGGCGGCGAGGGCGTGGGTTTCAGACGGTGGTGGCCGGCAGGTCGACGTCCTCGGGTATGATGACGGCGTCCCGGCGGGGGTGCGCCGACCGGAAGGGCGCCTTGACGCAGCTCTCCCCGAACCGTAGGTTGAAGTACTGTACCGGTGGCACCGGCAGGTGTCGGGGATCGCGGATGTTGAAGGCTGGGCCCTCCGGGTCGTAGTCAGTGTCGTAGGGGTGAGCCGGGGCCAGATGACGAGAGTCCAGCTTGGGCGGCGGCCACGTCGGCCAGCGGGGCGGGGTTTGGCCCGGAGAGCGGAGCAACCAGTCGTCCTCGCTGGGCAGACTCTTGGGCGACGGCGGCGGCGGCACTAGTCGGGCGATGTCCTCGGGCAGGGTCGTCGTCGGCGTCCTGCCCAGGTAGCACAAACATATCCAGGGTTTATCGCCCGGCAATCGCCGGCGATTTTTATTTTTCACCGCGATATCGCCGGCGATGTTTTACGTATATGAGGTTTGGCACAAATAGCACTGTCGCCTCGATGTCGCCTGATGACAAAGATTCGACAACTTGGGGGCGACATCGCTCGAGC